TGAAGGCAAAGGTGTCAGAGACCAGCAAATAAAAAGAAAAAAAAAACCCAAAGCACTTCAAGAAGCTTATTATAAATAATTACTGCAAAACTGCCTTCTCAGGAATACCTACAAAATACAACTTAATTAATTTTAAAATGCAGCTCATCTTTAACAAAAATAGTCCTCCCAGGAAATTCAGAACACAGCAGTTTAGAGGAATCTGGTAAATGAAACAGAATGCAACTTCAAGTATGGCTTGGCACTTTTTGAACTCAACACTGAAATGAAGTGCTGTGCAACTAGAAATGACCATACCAGAACTTAAAACCACAGTCTCACACTTCCACAGGAAGTTCTTTCCACTCTAACTAAAGTAAGTTTTCTAAGCCTACATCCAAAATTCAAAAAAAGATCTATCTAACCTGTCTTTTATGGAAATTAACTCACTCTCACAAAACATTTCCTGCTCATCCATTTTATCCCACTGAACACAGCATACTAGGAACACAGGTAAGAAAGACAGACTTTTTTACACTGCCCTACATACTAATCAAACTGTAGAAACTAACACAGCATGTGGCATCATCAGAATATTTTACTGAACACATGCATGAAAGACATTCATTCATGCACACAACTCAACCTCTCACTATCCTGAGTGAAATTTCCCACCATTCTAGATTGTGTCTTCAGCTGGGTCTGAATCCATTGCTTCTTATTTAGGAAGGAAAAGGAAAAAAATCAGAGTAACAGTAACTCTCTTTTCATTTTCCTGTATTTTATTATTTATCAGAATGCCAGGGTCAGGGAAAAAAATTGTCCACTTAATGAAGTGATAGCAGGTTTAACTTCAGTGATTTCAATGTCTACACTGTACACTTCACTGTTAAGATTGTATTATCTATGACCAACATCTTGGAGTTTGGGAAAAATATGGGAGGTTTTTTGGGAAAAATATGGGAGTATGTTAAGATTCTTATATTAGATGGAAAAAACCCAACAACCAAACCACATTTGCAAAGAGAATCTGGAAGAAAGAAATTTTGTTAAGATTTTTTTATTAGATGGAAAAAAACCCCAACAACCAAACCACATTTGCAAAGAGAATCTGGAAGAAAGAAAAAAAATTACATATAAAATATTTAAAATCCTCTAAACAACTTGTGCCAGAATTTCTAGTTATACTAGAAATTTCAGTTTCTACAGCTCTAGTAAAAAAGTATTACTGAAGTTGAGTTTTCAGGAAAGTCACAGACCCTTTACCCAGACCTGTCATAATATTAATAATCCCAACTTCACATTCACTGCTACCTAAAGCATTTCTTAATTTTATTAAGGTGTTCATGGAGAAAGCTGTGTTTTCCCTAACTGAAAATTTAGATTCAAAAAACATGTTTCCCAGCAATGTTAGAAAGGAAGGAGCATGTTGCTTTCTCTTGTAGTAAACATGGACTTTAGGAATGTGCTACTGGAGGCCAAGTGCATGTAAGACACAAACTCCTGCTGGTGTATGACCGTGTTCATTATTCCAACTGTAAAGTGTCATTAAAAGACTTTTAGCTGGACCCTGCAATGCAATATCCTCGTTTCTCTCACAGTTTCTACCTCTTCTTTGTGACTACTTTGCCAGGTAACAAACTGGCTTGCCAGTCTTGCCAACCTTAGATGTTTTATTTGCTGCCTGCAGGTTTACACCAACTGCAGTTCTGGAGGTTTCAGATCAATAAATATCACTGACATCTTGAGAACAAGCCACCTACCTCTACAGCCCTGGGTCACACAGGACACTACCAAGGACCAAAATACCCCACGTCCCTCTGAAGGTTTCCCTTGAACTGGATTAAGAGAATTAACAAAAATCAATGAAGATCTTATCCTTCTACAACATACCTAGTGCAGAGGTTGTAAAAGTAATTTATAAATTTTTCTGACTGAACTTCACATTACTACCCAAAACCAAGTGTTTATCTCTGTTACACAGCCAAAAAAGTTTAACACAAGTGACAGCAACCTTTCAAAGACACTGCTGATAAAACTGTATAGTACTGCAGCTGCTTCAGAAACACATCAAAACTGGTGCATTCCACACCATCCACAAGGCCTTAAAGAGATGTGTTTTCAGATTTGGAATATGAAATGGACAATTTTAGTTGAAAATTCTTTTTGCGGGCTGATCGCCTGAGGGCTTCTTTAGTTAATATTAATGAAATCATGTTCACTTCTACCAAATAAATACTTAATAAAGCAATTCTGTTTAATGTATTAATGGCAATCTAACCTTTAAACATGCATTTTTATTTTTCAAAATTCAAACCTGAAAGCCTCCAGGTGTTACTCTAGAAACTAAATGAGAATACTCAGATTCCTTGGAAAATTTATGCTCATAAAGAATTATCTACTTGTTATAAAGATTCAAACAGGCACAGTTTAGATATGCAGAATGGAAAGAATAATTTACAACTGGAGCAAACGCCAGATTTAAAAGTATGCAGAGGACACTCACTGATAGAGCAAGGGGCTTATGTCCTAAGATTAGAGCTTCTAGGATCTTGCTAATGACACTTCAGAGGAAAGAGTGCTGATTCCCACTTCCTGCAAGTAACTTGTATCTAGGCAATGAAGCTTCCAATATTACAGCAGCCATTTGGATTTTTCCCCACCAATTCTACAGAACTGCTATGTGATTTTAAGACCTCATCACTTTCTTTCTCCCTAAACTGTATAATAAGCAAAACATCGCTTAACTTTTATAGCATCCCCTAGCCTGAAGTATTCTACATCAGTAGAAAGTATTATTTTTGGACTCTTCTAGCAAGATTTGTCACCACTCTAAACCCTCCTAGAAGTCTGGATAAAAAGAAATAGCTTGCCCACATTTCTTAAGTGTCATAAGAGATTCTTTTTTTTAACATGCTACTTTGCAACTAAACTGTACACCGATGCTTTGTTACCTTAGGAAGCAATTTCAGGACCTGAAAACACTAGGTGAGAACTTCCACCTTAACAATATAAATGATTCTGAGAAGAATCCTTTCTTCAACCTGCTTCACACTGTTTTGGAAGTTCTTTTATGGCTGCCTTTAGAAGATCCCAAAAGAACATCTAACTTAATCCTATTCAGAATATATATAAATGCACTTCCTGTAATATAGCATAAAGTCACAAAATACATTAAAAATGCTGTAATGTTGATCCATCAAGCCAGCCTCAAACCAGTTCCTGGAATTCTTTTCCATCATTATACAGCATCTACAATATACTACTGGATAGGCAAGAGGGGAAAAAAGGGAGGGGGGAAGGTAAATCCAAAGACTCTGTTAAGCATGATTCCCATTTCCTCTGTACATCTGCTAAATTGACAAGCAATTATTTTGAGGCCAAGAGCAGAAAATTCTTAATGTTTTATCAGAACACTGAGTTCTACAGGTTAGACAAGCATCATAGTGTCAAAAAGTGGGTTTTGTCTTGGGGCTTTTAAAAACAATTTTCCATTTTTCAAGACAGTTACTCAGGGGAAAAAAGAATCATTAAACTAGGTATATGTAAACTCACACCGCATTTTTATCTTTATATGGCCTTACTACTTTGCTAATTTATTCTCTGGGGTATTGACTGCACCAGAGTTACACTTATTCACTGACAGCTGTGCTGGTGAAAGCTGAGATTAGTTACAGTGAAGGCTACTCCACTTATGGAACAAGGATGGGTTTTGTTATCAATCCAAACAGCCTCTGTGTCTCTGTGTGAAATAATGGACTTCATCAGTGCACTAGCACAAGACAGGGCTGGCAACAGCTGTAATTAAGGCAAATCCACAGCATCTTAAGTTCAGCTGAGAGAGGACAATCCTAAGTTTCCCTCACTTTCCACAAGAAAATGTTACATCTTTAATGATATGTCATCACCCAGTTTTTTAAAACCATCTCCAGATAATTTTATTTTAAAAGTGACCTAAGCTGAATGTAATAGGCACGTAAGAGATCATCTCTCTTAGTACAAACTTTTTGTTCTCATACACTTTCCTTTATATAGCCCCTTTTTTTCTCTCATCTCCTCAGTTTTGACCAGGAATTTCAATCAAGCTCTCCACTACCCCATTCAAGGTTTACTTTGATGCACTACACAAAAATCAACAATACAGCTGCCAGGAGAATATATTGTAAAAATCTATTTTTCATCATATCAGCAGTGCAATGATGAATTGCTGAAAGGATTGCACATGAAAATTCAGACCAAGGTCATCAAAATAACTGCTCATTCTCACAAAAGACTGTATTACATTTTTTGACGTAGAGGAGGAAATATGTGCATGACTAGAATGAAAACCAAAGGAAAACAGATTTCCAAGCACCCACTTCATGGCAGTAGTAAGCCTGTTCAAGGTAAAAGGTTCTCTTCTACCCAAATATTCATGCTTTAGGAGGAAAAAAATAAATCATAATATCCTTAATAAATGTAACAGCAATTTGTCTCCTAACCAGTACCTGGCAAGCTTAGGAAGTTTGGACTGAGTTCAACCATGCACTCAAACACAAGGCAAAAAAAACCTTTGAGAGAAAGTATATCGAACCGTAATTCCAAATAAAACTCCTTCAAAGTTTATCCAATGCTGTCAATTTTTTATGTTTGACAAATGTGAGAATTTTCCCAGCAGCCAAAAAACCCCTTACATTAAAAACAAAAGGATTTTACTATATCAGACCCACAGAAAGCAGTGGCAGTGCCACTGAAGAACATGCCATATATGTGAATACAGCTGGAGGTAGCACAAGTCAAGTTACAAGCATTAGAAGTTTAAAGTTGAGTGTCCAAACTCACAGTAACACAATTCCATTAAATGTATGTATTTTCTTAGGCTCTAACCTTTAGAAAAGGTTCTCCTTAAGAACAGGTTATAGGACCCTTTCTCATTTAAATGCTTCTTCGGTACCAAAGATGCTGCCAGCACAGCATAAGGGTTGAAATCCTTTAGAGTTCTTGCCCAGCCTTTGTTCTTACTGCTTTTTCTAACCTCTTACCTAATTACTTGCTGACTGGTAAACTATCAGTCTGGAAATTATATGTTCCTTCTCATGTAACAATTGTCCTTCACAGACAACAGAAGAGACTGTAATATTAAAAATGGAGTTAGCTTAAATAAAAGCTCTTGATTTCCCAAGTCCATGCAGCAGCTTTCTTGATCAAATCTGTATACTTCTCTTCTTCCCACACCTCCCCCAAATTTGGAAGACTCTCTGATTGCTTACATTTCCTTCGTTTTATTTGAATCTCATTTGATCCGCAGCTTGAGAAGAAAGAAGAATAGGCTTTCTCAATGCTCTGATAGGGTTCTCTTTACTCCTGCCAATAAAGGGAGCTTTGCTACAGTCTGCCTGGTTTCTTTCTTTGCCCTGAAGAAAGAAAGAGTTTGAGTTACATTACCTTCATTCAAAAACGCTTTAACAGGCTTCTCAGAATCTATCAAGTTACTTCTTTAGTTTCATTAGACCATCAAATTAATTCTTAATGATGAACTTTAAAAATAACCTAAATGTAAGATAAATAACAAAGAACAGGACACAAAACATATCAATGTGATTTTTAAACTATTGTTTTCTTCTGCTCCACTATTGCTCACAAATGACTCAACAAAATAGCACTAAAGGAAGACATGCACAGTTAAAATCACAGCTATAATTTCTTGCTTTCACGCACACACAAAAACCTCTCCTCCCAGATACACTGCAGGTCATTACAGACTGTACAAAATCTTAAAAGCAGTGCCATTTTCTTGGAAAGTCTGATAAATTCCATTTGAAAACACCAGCTCAATTCTGAGAAAGTAATTAAGCGTTGTGCAGAGTGTTTCTTTTAAAAAGCACCCCACGACAATATTCCACGAGGTCATTGGAAGTAAGCAACTTAGTCTGGGGAAGTTTGTTTGATCCTGGAATTTTCACAAGCACAGAGAAAAAGAAGAAAATGGTCCAAAAGCATAATTAATACAAACCTTCATCAGTATCTATGTGCACTCCTAAACGTGACAATAAAGTTCAACAAATGCAACCACAATGCCCAGATCGCCACCACAAAAAGCCCGACGGCCCCACGGCCTCTCATCCTTACACGTCAAGGCCAAATTTCGTGAGCACAGAGCAGCCACCTCACCTGGGCAGGTACAGCACAGAGCCAAAGCACATTTCACAGGAATTTCACCCTCCCAGCTGCTGTCGGTGAACTTTGCACCCACCTAGCCCAGCGTCCAGCCGCGCACCGTGGCCAAGCCGGGCAGCTACTCCGCGGTGCCAGGGCAGCGACGTTCCCGGGCGGCGCCGGGCAGGCCGGCACTGAGGGCCCGGCCGGGCAGCGCGCTCCCCGATGTCATCCTGCACACAGGAATGGCCCCGGCAGTCACACAGATCGGCCTCAGCAGTCACACAGCTGGCTACGGAAGGTCACAGTGTCACAGAAATGCTCACCTGGCCCTGCACCCACCAGGCTTTCGCTCCCCTCGCCACAGCTGAAGTGCGGGGCTTTGTAACACGAGACCAAGATAGCACTTAGCCACGAAGGAGGCTGTAAAACTCGCACAGGGGGTTTCGTGGCTTTCTGATTTTTTTTTAATCTTAGTCATGTGCTACAATTCACCTTTGGTCCTCAGGAAGTGGAAAGGAAAGGCTACTGCTGCTAACAAAGTAGCAGCAATGCTACTTTGGACCACAACCAGAGTAAGTAACGTGCTAATGAGTGGTTACGGATCCTGGCAAAACACACACAGGCCAATGAAAGCCCAATCTGGCTCATTCTAGAAACACAGTACCTGGAAAAATAGCCCAGCACTGAGATTTACAGAAAACTCTAAGAATAAATGCTTACTCAAACAAAAAGGAGATCTGCAACCATACACTTTCCCCACCAAAACAGTATATAAATTACAAGTCAGCCCATTATAGCTACAGATGTCATGAAAGCAGTACAAATTTCTGTACTAAACATTTGCATATTAACTCAGCAAAAAAATGAAGTTCTAAAACTCTTAGGTGTGACATGACTCCAGACACCAATCATATCAATGACCCCAGGCCAATGCCCCTTCGTATTCTTAGGTATAAATCCAAATTAAGTGCAGGGAGTTTTGTGCTTTCAGCCTCTCCTTTCCCTCCCAAGTCACCAACCAACCCCTTCCAAACCACAGAGAATTAAGGCGCCTCCAAAGTTTCATTCTTACTAAACAAGTGCACTCCACAGATGAAAAGCAGCACTATGACAGTGCTACACCCTTAAAAATCTGGCATGAAAAAAAAAATCCAGAGATATTGGTAAGACATAGAAAGGATTGGGGATTTAGCTCCTAAGATTAACATAAAAAAAGGAACATTTTCAAAACAATTGAAAATAATTGATCTTGAAAATAATTCCGTATTATGTTGGAAAACCAAAGTGAAAACCGACTAAAAAACACTCTTTTAATACTAATGAAGTACACATAACTGTTTCTCAACTTGAATACACCAGATAATTCAGGGAAATTATTACAAAGAATTTCAATGAATTACAAGCAATAAAAAAAGGCAATCAAAACTTTTACTTTCCAACAAGCACAGTTATTGTTGCATGCTACAACATACAGAAATTACTTCCATTATCCTTTATATGTTAGTCAACAAAAAGTACCTTACCTTATTCTCCACTGTCTGAGCACAGAGGATTAAAAACAAAGTATTAGGCAGAAACTGCAGGTGTTTTGTATCAAGAAGAAAACCCAAATCACTGCATCAATAAGCTTAGTGGCTGTCCAGCATGCCATGCACTCTAGGGACATTAAATGGAAACTTATTCACATCCTTTTTTCTGCAAGCTTCCAGACTTCTGAATTGGAAATCCAACAGCAGCCGTTCATTACCTCCTCCAAAATGCAGATCTCAGCAACACCACACTGCAAGAGGAGCCACCACAGCTTGATTTTCCCTCCTAGTAATTCCCTCCTTGCCAACTACTGCACTGCAGTCTTTCTGAGGGCTGTGCAAAATGCAACTGGGGGAGGGCTGAAAGAGCCCAGCAAAGAAACACAGCAAAGTTCTTTCAAATAATCTCATGACTTCCTAGTCGTGGGCTGGAAGGCATAAACTGCAGTTTGGTTGGGATTGCTTAGCATTTTCTCTGCTGTTCCTCCTCATGCTCCTGCCTACTTTTTATTCCATTTTTCACAGGATAATTTGAGGGTAGTACTTTGTGGAAAAACTAGAAGGAATGAGAGGAAAATAATAAACAATTTTGTTATAATACAGCTACCTTTAATTCTCATAGCCGTAATATTCTAAGGGATTAAAACCAAAATGTCTTGTAAGGTTCAGGATGTTTTGGTGTTTTCTCAGCTCAGGCAATGGGGAGATACTGGTGGATTTTTTTTTTGCTTTCATTGTTAAATTGGGGAGTTTAGTCAATTAACTACTTAGCACTTGGATGCCTTCCCTATACAATTAAAACTGCCGTGATTACACAACAGCAGTATTTGTGAGACAAGTGCCCAGCAGGGGCATTTGTAATTATACCCAAGTGTTCCACAACAGCAGCAAAAGAATGCATCCAAATATTAAAGAAGCTTTCACAGAAGCAGTGGGGTTGGAAGGGACATCTGGAGACCATCCAGGCCAGCCCCCTCTGCCCAGACAGGGTCAGGCAGAGCTGCCCAGCACAGCCACCCATCAGGTTTTGAGGATTTGCAGAGTGACTCTACCACCACACTGGGCAGCCTGTTGCAGTGTCTGAGAACATCCACAGCCTTTTCTTGTATTCAGATGGAATTTTATCCTTTTTTTTTTTTTCTCAGTTAATGCCCACTGCCTTTCTGGACACTGGAAGTTTAATCTCTAATTTGAGTTACCTCCATCCCCCTCTACAGCTGTGTTTAAGAGCAAAGGGAACAACAAGGAGCCCTCGGTGTCAATCAGAAGTTGTTGGCTCATTTGAAACAATAGGCTCATCACTGCTTTCCACCCCTCCTTCCTTCTGCATCCTGCAGAGCCAGGCTCCAGGCCAGATCTTTTAGCTCATCGCAGCTGCCTACCATCAGCAACCTATTATCCCTGAAGATCCAGGTCCTCCTTGGGGGAGCATCCTGCTCAGTCTCCTCTGGTTCAGCCTCACTGGAACATTAAGCAGGGCTGAGCACCTGCTGGCAATAACATGGAAAGCTCAGAAACCTCCACGTTCCTCTGGCACCTCCTGTGCAGCCCCAGGAGAGGGGCAGTAGGCAGCAATCAGAGCGTGTTCTATGGGCATGAGCAGGAAGGAAATGAGAGAGTTTGGAGGGAGATGCATCCTTTGGGGGTTTGGCTCAAAGCAGTGCTAAGGCTGGCTGGTTTTAGGGGCGTGTTTGAAGGTTCTGCTTTCCCTTAAAAGGCCAATATAATGGGCAACATAGGTATAGACTCAGATACAATGAAAACAACTACTACCCACTCCCTCACCAACAGATGGAGGTTAATTTCTCAAAGCTGTGCACATGTCCTTTGCTTACTCTTTGCAGGGGCTGCTGAGTTCTCATGCACTGAAACAGTGACTTTACAGTTTTTCTTCTAACATGGCTTAGTTAACATTGACATGCCTGTAGTGGATAATATATACCCAGTTTAGGCTCCCAAGCAAAGTTTCAGTTAGTTTTATTTTCAATTTTTATCTACTGAAAAGAATTTACCACTAAAGGTCATCTTCAGCTTCAAATGCCTCCCTTGGTTTGCAGACCACATGACATAAAACATTTTAAAAACATGATCACAAATTTGAAAAGGGGAAAGAGAGGCCTGCTGGCTTTGAAAGAGAAGAACAAAAGCAGAAAGCTATAACAGACTTTCTGCGTGACTTAATGCACTTCTGTATATTTCTACTCTCCTTTTTTGAGGAACAGATCCCCTTTCTCTGATCTTACCTGGGCACCTACCAAGTTCCCATCTCTTCATATGTATTACCTTGTATAATAGGGCTCCAGTCTTAAGCTAGGAACTGTCAAAAGTGAAAAAAGAACTAGAAATAAGGAACACAAAAACAATTATATCTTGATAAAGTTGGGAAGAAGAAGGACTAAAAATATCCCTTTCCCCTAAAAAACAAACATAAATAGGAAAATAAGACCTTTAATTTTTTTTTGTTTGTTTCTGCAGTTAGTCTAAGACTAGCACCTGAATACTTAACCTCTTTTGCTTCAGGACAGTGAAAAATTACTTCAAGACAGCCATGTGTAGCCTAGTTGCTTTCTGGCAGGCATTCACATACCAGCACAGAGGCACACAAGATTTCTTAGGAAAATGACACTAAACATCTAGCATCAACTGAGATGTGGCCAAGGGAAAAAAAAAAAATCTCACAGAAAGATAGCAGGTCTGCTTCATAAATTGTTCATGGTCCTGTGTGGGAGAGTAAAACAGAAAGAGAAAAGGCCAAAAGATTGTTCAACTATTCCAACAGACTACTTCCTTTTCCTGCATCCTGCAGATGCTACTTCTACATCACAACCTAAAAAGGACTCGTTATACTGTTATGTGAACCTACAAAAAACTTATTGTGACAAGAACATGAACTTTTGTATATAAGCATCATCATTAATTCACATAATTTATTACCAACAAGAAGTTCTTAGTCACAGTGCTTAACATATGGTCTAGTACTAGTATAGTAAAAAGGTTAATTTTTATGCCTTTCCACAGAGAATTCTGAAAGAGCCTCTCTACCTTCCAGCTTTACAAAGCTGTACCTGTTCCGAGGAAAAAGCCACAGAGTAGTCCCAGAGCATCAGCTGCTGCTCCTCTGCAGAGACACAACCCCCAGCACTCACCTGAAGGACTGACGGATTTCCTATGGTCATGAGAGGTTGAAAGGAGCACGTTTCACTTCTTTTATCCATTCCTAATTTAAAGCTTAAACTGAAGGCAAACAGGACTAACTTTTTTTTTTAGAAGCATAATTTCTTTTTAAACTCCAGAAAAAGTAGAATGGAACAAGGAAGGAAAGCACAGTCCCAAACATACTTAAGGTGCTGTTCTAAAGGATTCAGGACATTTTCTCCTCTTGCAAGTAAGGTTAAATGCAGTTTTCCAAATTGGGCTGTGGCTGACTGAGGAAGCTGGTTACCACCTATGAGTTCTAATAATATTTTTAATCTATTTGAAATCAAACATCTCAGAGGAAGATTTTTTTTTTTGTGAAATACAGATAATTATTTGCTTACCTTCCTTGCAAGTACAACTGAAGAAACAAAAAAACCCAGCCTCCATATACTATCATGCAACTTAAGTCCACCAGGCAGAATGCAGAACTTGCCAAAAAGTCCATTCTGATTGTGTGCAAGGCACACAATGAGACAGAACAATGCTACAAGAGGGTTTATTTATAGAAATGAGAATGAAACTTGTTCTGACTTTTGAGGTATCATCTTCATTCATAACTAAACCAAACCCAGGCACTGAAGACGATTTTTTAAATTAATATCATCAACTTAAAGATGTGAAAATGCAAAGGAGAATGAGGTACTTTATGGTGTCATGCAATGATACTAATACTAAAAAAAACCCCAAAAACAAAAAAACCAACCCAAAAATCCCACCAAAAAAAACCCAACTCACACAACTGCCATGAGGTTTCTCAACATACATATTAAAAACATACACAGCAGAAGAATTGTTCCTACCTACCTGTTTACATGAAAAAAATTCACAACACAAACCCCAGTGACACACAAGCCTGCAGTCTGTGCTTCCGACTGATTAATACATTGTTTCCCACTGCTGAGAGCTGGTCTTGATTCAGTTAAAGCCTAAGCACTTGGGCCTTCCTGCTGGGAAACAAACAAGTCAAGTCGGTTTCAAGCATCTCCTATTAATACACAGAAACAATTCTCACAAGCCTGAAGGCAAAAAAAGAAAAACAAATAGTAGGTAAAGGCTGCACTAAACCATAACAAACTATGGCAAATCAAAAAGCTGCACTGAAACCTACTAGTTCACTAGAAAATTCATTGCAAAAGTCTGTTTACTTCATGGAGGAAGCCATCAGTGAGTCAATATCTACAAGAATGTTTTACATAATGGGAAAATTTTTATTGGCCAGAGGTTCACAGTGTTCTTAAATTTCCAGAAACTGCAGATGTAAAGATACTTCTGTTAACCTAAACCAAAACCAAGAAAAGAAACTATCTGAGATGACACTCCATTTCACAACACAGCTCTAGTGCTCTTCAACCTGCTCAGCACAGGAAAGACTTACACTCTGATATTAAAGGATGGAAATGTGAACACTGGAAACAGAGTTGGCTTTTAGACTACCACCAAATGGCATTAAAACATGTTAGCCAGCATAAAATCTTGGCTAGCACATGGCTGCCATTTCTGAGCTGTGACACTAAGAACTGAAGTAGTTTAAGGAACCAGTTTTACTCTTGTAGAAAATTAGTGAGCCAGTTAGAAGGTATTTACAAGAAAGCATGATACCATCTTAGTTCTTCCATTTTCACTTTACTTGTAAAAGTGAATAAGAGAGCCAAAAATCATTAGACAATAATGAACTGAAAGGAGTTCCTTCCTTCTTTTAACAAGGAAAACATGCTGCAACACCACTACAGTATAAAATCCAGTTTACTCAAACTAAAGTAGGTTGAATGAAAGAATCCTTCCTCAGTTTTCAGAGGGCTGATAACAGTTTAAGGATTATATTTAAAAACCAAAGAGTAAATTCAAAACATTGTACAGATTATATTATTCCTCTTAATCTGCTAAAAATTACCAATTTCAAAATGCAAATTATATTTTCGTTTTTGCTTTTAAAATATTTTGAATTATACTTAATAGTAAGCATTTTTATCAAGCAACTTTTTGAACCTTGAAATTAAATAAGTATTTTAAAATTAATGTCATGGATCATACATGCACAGATATCAGGATTAGAGTTCTAAAAGAGACTAAGTTACGAAGCTGCTCATAAACTAAAGCCTATGTGTTAAATTTCAAAAGCACAGAGGTCACATTTGTTTTAGTACTGAACTAGTATAATTCTATTGCCATGACAGTGCAAAACAGCTTTCCTAGCAGGCTACAATGCATTCAGGGGCACACATGATCAGAAGCTCAAATTCAGAAAATTAAGTTCATGTTCATTATGGAGTGCCTTAGTGCTGGCACTCCATAATGCAATATATGAACAACTGTTTCTATAGTTCTTTTTTTTAATCTGCTTTTGGTGATAACAAATCCTTTCTAAAGTATTCTGTCCTCCTGAAACATTCTCGTCCCCCACAGTACATCGTGACATCCCATCTCATTTTTCTTCTCACAAAAAATTTACCTATGTATTTGCCAGCAAAAGCCACATTGATGGTAACAGAAGAATGAATGAAAAAGGTCTTCTGACTCAAGTAACTATATGCTTCTTTTTAAATTGAAACCTAGTGATGCGGGCTGCCTCCACTGCCCAACAGAACCAACCTGTCATTATGGAGAAAGACAAAAAAGCACACGCAGAACAGAAAACAGAAAGCATGTTCCTTTCTGTTATCTGCTGATGCACTCATTCATCTGAAGGCCTAAATCCTATGCCTGGAACATACAGACCAAGACCAGCAATGCTGCTGCACTGCTCAAGCAAAAAGCAACATCTCCATGTCGTAATTACCAGAGCGTTCTCTTGGGTCCTCAGCACAGCTGCCCATGTGTCCATCAGTTCACATGGAGGGCAAACAGCAGCGCAGTTCTGTTTCCTGGGATAGTGAACACTGCTCCTCACCTGCAACCAGACTCTTCTGGCCAGTCCTGACAGTGCTTACACTTCACCATCTTTACCTGCACACAGATGGAAGTCCTCACCCTCCATGAACTGGCAGGCTGCACTCCTGACTGGCCTTACTAGAAAACTATAGCAAGAAAAATACTGGCTTTGTGGGCCTGCCTCAGGTCTTCCACTCAAATCTCAAGAGCAAGCACAGCTCTTCCTGCAATGTTAAACATCTGGAAAGCATGCTGGAGCAAGCTTAATCTGCTACTTTGCAAGATGGCCCTACAGAGCTCAGAACCCTTGGAGCTACTCTTATAAGCTAAGGTAACACCATAAAACCCATTGCCTCGATTCAGATAGGAACATAATGGCAGAGAAGCTTCAGTAATTCTTTTCTAATGCTGTATCTCCACATGGTACAGGGAAGAATGTCAGTACAGTAATCTGAAACACGAAACTCACAATACAAATTAGGAAAAAACCTCCAAACAAAACAAAATAACTACACAAGAAATAAAATACTATATGAAAAACCTAGAGCAGAGATAAAGGACAAATTAGAAAAACAAATCCTTGCAGCAGCAACAAACAGCTGTGTTCCAGCCTATAGAACAGCCTCTGATCTAGGCCTCTGGTGAATGAGAAAAAGGAGAGGATGAAAGCAGGCAGAACACCACTCCACACCTGAAAGACTCCTAATTCTGTAATGGAGACTTGTGTCTTTCTACAGTGCTCTGCCTGAAGTGCCCTGTATGGCATATTGGCTCCCCAAACCTCACACCTCCAGTCCAACTCTCCCCAAGTCTGAGCACACACTGGAGACAACCCTGAAGCCTTCTGTGTTTGGACAGCCACCAGAAACAATTACACCCAGGCAGATTGCAGGCAGTGGCGACTGATTTAACATGGGGAACACTCCAACATCTATAACCCCATGCATTTCTCCCTCATTCAGTAGCAGCAGCAGCAGATGAGTTCTATCAGTTAACATCATGCTGAAAATTCATCAGCCTCATTTCAATTCTCACGCTGCCTGCTTTTCCAAAGTTAGTCTGGATTGCCTAACTAGTTCTGCCACAGTCACAGCAAAGCTGTGAGACTGACAAAGAGGACTGATTGACCACAGTGGGATTCTGCAGGAAGAATGACCCCAAGTCACCACTTATCCTAGTTAGTGAAAAGGGATTAATACCCTACATCATCTTAGAACAATGGAAGCTGAACTATTCTGTATTAATTAACAGCCATTATACACTAGCCTCTTTACTCTTCCATCTGGATAAGTAGGGGAGCTGTAGGGAAACACCACTTCAGAAGTCACTTGCATCCAAACATTAAAGCTCTCTTAAAAACATTTCTATTTACAGGAAAATGAGTAGAGACCAGAAGAACAGAGACATCAGTTTAAGGAATGCATCATATGGGCTAAGGGAGCTCTAACAGGGAATAAGGCCATACAGAAATGTTATTAAAACACTCACTAAATGCTCTTGTTTCTATCTTACTTAATGTATGTAATACTTGGCAATAGTCCTGGTAACTTACTACAACATTAAGATATTGGTACATCTTTATTTGGCCTTCCCACCTCTTCATTGAAATTTACTATGCTTGCAGTAGTGAAAAAAAAACAAACCAAGAAACAAAACAAGACAAAACCAAACCCAAACCTAAAATCATGACAAAATCTGGGTTTTACAGTTCACATCACAATGTCATATAACACAGAACTCATGTTCAGCACTGACTTAAACACTAGGTTTAAAGGTAGAAAGGGAGTTCCAGTACTCTGCAGCTCTGGGCCTGCTCTGAATGATGAAGATGCATGATTTCATTTTGGTGTCAGTAACAGCATCAAGCCTGACACATTGCATCTATAGTGATAACATCAGGCTCTAGCATTTCATTTAATAACTCAGGACAGCCATTCATATTTATTATCAAGAGCTTTCCTGTACATCAATAAATTCTTGCCCAGGCACATGGGACATGTATTCATTTCTCCCAAGATACCTGTGCAAATAAAATCCTTCATTTATTCAAAATCTTGTGCTTGATCATTTATTTACTACTTTCTTTTTTTTTTTTATTTTTAAGCAGAAATATACCATCCCAGTCATTTTTTGTGGGTGTATCACAACCCTGCTCTTATCACTTCCTAGGCCTCCCGCCACTTACGTTCTTCACCTAAAAATAAACAAGACACCAACTCAATACTCTACAATATGTTGTCACTTCTTCCCTGCCCTGACTACATCCTCTCTGATCAACATGACAGTGGGATATGCTGTTGGATGCCATTTTGTCACTCCTCAGTCTGGAGTCCAAGTACAGCAAAATGCAGTGACCAATCTTAGCCTGTAAACAGAGTCAGTCTCCCAACTCTTGAAAGTCAAGGCAGGAGGGAGGAAGCAAGGCCAGGTTTTGTTAATTTTTATGCATCTACTAAAACAGTGCAGAATACTATTAGCCTTCTCTCCATACTCTATCCTGGACAATGTCAGAATCAAGGCTTTCTATTCAAGGTGACCAAGCACAATTTTCTCCCTTCCTGATGGGTTTCCACCTTCAGCTTTGGCCCCACTCACCAAGCCAATCACGTCACCAAGGAAGGACAAGTTCACATTTGATACGACGTCGTATGGCTGGACATCACAGCTGCTATCTTTTAATTGCCCCTTTAAGGGTTATTATTAGCCAGCTCTAAGTTATTATTAGCAAACTGATAAAACACTAATGGCCAAGTTCTCTCACACAACAACTTGTCCATTTTTCCACTTATTACACTGAGTTATTCCAAAATAAATGATTAAGATCAAGAAGAATCATCCCCCTGCGTATTACTTGAACCTGTTCTATTACTTACTGTTAATATTTTGAGGAACTAAGTGCATCTGACAATCACACATTTTAATCCTGGCCAAGGTTAGAAAGCCAACAAAGATTTTTGCAAACTTCTCTCTTTTCTCTTCGAAAACAGAAAATTGCATGTGACACCCACTGGCTCTCTCACACCACTTCAACAGCTGTTAAACTCAGGTCAAGACTGTTAAGCTAGGCTTCCAGCTGCTA